TAGGGCCAAACCATGAATGAGAAAGTTACGGGCGAAGTGAAGAGGAGTGGAGACAACCACATAGCATCCTGGGAGGTGTAGTTATCACCAGGAAACTGCAATGGGCTGGAAAACTCTAGATATAAGCATCTGTATGAGACTGCAATGTGGCATGTGCTCAATCAATTCCACATGTCAGGGAATGAAAGAGAGGGCAGAGAAAGACCCCACATGAGTCTAGCAGAACTTGACTAGACAACTGCCAACAAAACAATATAGTCTGGATAAATGAGCTGTGTATATGTAAGTCAACCTTCCCTCTGTTGAACCAAGGGGTTTCAGCTACAGGTGGACAGTGAATGGAGCTAAGAGAAACCAACAAACTTTATACTATCTGAGGAAGAAAGGTATGAACACTGTGGGAAGATAAAGTCCTGAAGGATAAAAGTGAAAGCAGACATCATTCTAAAGAATCAGGAAGAAGCCTTGGAAATAAATTTACTACAGAAACCAAAACCGATCTAGGAAACTGGCACTTTTGTTATCATACAAGAAGATATAACTTCTATGAATAATAATAAAAAACCATGAGAAGATAACAGGCTCAAATGTTAAGTATAACAAATTGAAATCAAAAGATAGAAAAGAGATCTTTTTTAAATGAAGGACTGAAATGTTACAATGACATAATTTAAACCTCCAATGGAATTAATAAAGAACAAAAATGACACTACTGAAAATCAGTGGCACAGAACATACATAAAAAATAAAAAGGTAACAGACTTGGTTTTATATCTAACAAAAAGAAAGGCTTGTATCTAAAGTATTGCATAAAGTATTTTTGATAACCCACAAAAACCCCCACATCTTTAAAATATGGAAAATTAAAGAGATGCTTTTCAAAGAAAAATATAAAAATGTGCAATAAGAACATGAAAAAGTGCTCAAGATTATTAGTCATCAGAGAAATACAAAATAAAACCATAATAAAATAGTATTTCATTCTCAGAGGACTAAAATTCAAAGGACTGACAAGATCAAATGCTTGTAAAGATGAGCAACGAGAACTCTCATACATTGCTGATAGGAATATAAAATAACACAGCCACTCTGGATATTATTTGTACATACTAAATCATAGTTTAAGTTTAGAAACTTACATATATACTTATCATATGACCTAGCAATTGTACTCTTTGGTATTTACCCGAGAAATGAAAAGAAAAATCCACAAAAATGTTTTATAGATGAATGTTCACAGTGTGTTTTACAAAATGACCCAAACAATCCAAAAGGGTACCAACAGGTAAGTGGATAAACTGGCTCATTCATATAATGAATGGATCACTATTCATGCAAACCAAAAAACAAAACCAAGCTACTGACACCTGCCACAATACGGATCAATCTCACAACCATCGTACCAGACACAAGAGTATACACTGAATGACTCCATTTATATGAATTTTTAGAGGAAGTAAAACTAATCCATAGAAAGGGAAATTAGATCAGAGGCTGAGTAAAGTAGGAGAAAGGAGGATTCAGTGCACCAGCACAGGAGAATCTCTAGGGTAGTAGAAATTATACATTATACATATATTATATGTATCTGTCAAATCTCATTGAACAATACATTTTAAATGTTTGCATTTATTACATATAAGTTATACTTTAATAAATTTGGGGGGGGGTACCAGAGATCGAACTCAGGTCCTTGTGCTTGCGAGGCAGGCAACAGAACCACTGAGCTAAATCCCCGGCAAAAAATTTATTTTTTAAAAGGCACCACTTCTAGATTTGTTCTAACGTTTTTTGTTTTTGTTTTTTCTTGTACCAGGGTTCAAACTCAGGACCTTCTACTTGTAAGCCAGGCACAGCACCACTGAGCTAAATCCTCAGCCCATTCTAAAGTTTTGAATTACACTGTATTTTTTTTTAAAAATTCTGAACATCTAGGTAGCAAAATCAGATGTCTTTCAAAGAGTAAAAATATTTAATACCAAATTTCTCTTTAGAAATACTAAACATGACAGTGAAAACAATTATAGTCACTAAAGAAAGAAATTACTTAAGAAACATATCTAGGCAAGAACTGTTCATAAGTGAATAAAATTGAAAGCCAATCTGTATGAGAGGGATGTTCAGAAAATACACCATAAATCCACTCTTCTAGGAAAAAATATTGAAGTCCTTTCCCAGCCAACTGAGAGACAATTCAAATTTAAGAGCTCAAGAATGAAGACAGTCTACTTATTAAAAGTATGATTTGAAAATGTAAACCAATAATAGTAATTCCTAGAAGATAAAATACAAAAAAAAATAGAGATAATATTAGTTCCAAATCCTAGACTTTACTAATTAGAACTAGGGAATATTGGTGAAATAAATGCCCAATAAATTCCTTATTTAATGTGAAATAGAGTTCAGAGCTTTCAGTTAACTAAATTGTAAAATACCCACTTATGGAATGCTCTATAGTCTTAAAAATAATGAACAAGCTCTTTATGTTCTGATACGAAATATCTATAAGATAAATTTATTCTAAAGAAAGCAATGCCATGCAAAAATGTGTTTGGCAGGCCATGATTTATAAAACAAAAGGGGATTAGCTCAGTGGTTCCGCTGCCTGCCTTGCAAGAGCAAGGACCCGAGTTCGATCTTCAGTACCAAAAAAAAAAGGGGGGGGGCTGAGAAATGTACAACTAAAACTAGTAACCTTGGCTGCTTTAGGCAGTGGATTAAATAAAGAGTAAGAAAGAGACTTTATTGCAAATGTTTTTTGTCTTTGCTCATTTGTAAATAAACCATATAAATATTATCTACTTTTAAAATAAAATTTTTAAATGTATTGTCTGTTTTGCTTTTAAGAGTCAAGTAAATACTCACTGAAGACTTAATATACATACAAAGATAAACAAGATACCACAAATCAGAAAAGATACAATAATCTCAGAGATATTGATTTCTACTTGAAAAAAGGTAATTTTTAATTTTCATTTCACAACTACACTGAAAATAAACTACAGAGAGTAAAGAGTTAACTAATAAAAATTAAACTATAACAACATTAGAAAACAGGTGAATTTTAGGGCAAAGAAAGATTTTCCAAGAGGAACCTGATAAATTTTATTTCATAAAAATTTAAATCTCCTATTGATCAGAAATATCATATAAAATTAAAAGGCACATTAAAAAAAATTTCCAAAGATGAATGTCATTATATTGTATACCTAAAATGTACCAATAATTAGAATGAATAATTGATAATGCAAAATAGGAAGAAAATGTCCAAAGGGGTAGGGATAGTGGGAGGGGCAGGGGAAAGGAAAGAAGGGAAAGGAAAAATGATGAGAAATGGAAAAA